CTTTCAGGTAAATATGGTAATATAGTATTAAACAATAATCAGATGAGAATATTTCAACTAAAAACTGAAACTGATGGAATCAATGGCAAAGGTCAACAATGTCTTACTTATTATTATTATATGCCTGTTACTACTGATAAAATCATCAATATCCGTCAAGAAGAAGTAGATGGTGGAAGCGTAATCATTGATTCTGTTACAAGTAGTCCATTCAATGGTTGGATAGTGCGCAAAGTATCATTCAATGCAGAAGCACCCGGTTATAAAGTATGATACTTTTCAAACATACTATTGTAGTTCTTTTATTTATACTCTTTATAGATCTATTTCGAAGTACAACGAACAAATGGGTTTCAAGCACCTAATGTTGGACTTGATGAAATATCAATACACCAAGGCAGTTGTGGTATGTAACGATTAAAATATAATAAAATATATCTGCATTGCATGTCGTGTAGAAGATGAGCCAATTACTGTTACGCCGGCAACAACACCAACTACTACTCTAACAGACCCTCTTTCAACAACAACAATAACATCAACGACATTGACAACACCAACAATAACAACCAATGTAAGATCAAGAAATCTTTTCCTTCCTGTTTAGAATATAAACTCGAGGTATGCTTTAATTGAAAAAGACTCTCAAACATATTTCTCTAAAACATTCTAATTCCATCTGAAAAACATATAAGACAAAACAATAATATAGTGTGAGTATATGTACAGCACCTTAAGAAGCGTTTCGCAATAGCTTTACTACCTTTATGGCAGATATTTCTAAGTTCTATGAAACTTTCAGACCTTGCACATGTTTTCGTCTAATATCATTCATAAAAACAGTTTTTCTAATATCATTGACGAATGCATATATGTATAGATAACCATTTTTTGTACTATTTTTCAAACCAAGATGGTCAACAGACCTCAAAAGTTACATACAATTCAGAGATTAACAATATAGACATGTTTAGCATTTCATCGAATATTACGACTATAATATTGATTGATGAAGATGATAACAGAAACAAATAAAAAATCTTGAGTATAGCCCATTTTCATAATTTATTTTTTCTTCTCAATATAACAAGATCTATAAGATCGATTAACAGATCTATGAGCAATACTGAGTAAAATAATTGTAATGTTAAGAAATGTTGTGTCGTTTCAGAAGGTTTCAATAGTTGGAAAATACCACTTGACAGTAAAGCAATGCACAGTATACTTTTAAGAAAAGAATATAAACATTATTATTGAGTATCATATAGATACAAGTAACGTTTGATAATATAGAGTAAGTGAATGAACCTATATTTTCTTTTTAATCATAGATAAATTACACGACAACTGTTGATAATGCATCACCTGATGACAAAAAGACGTTAACTATTGTTTTGGCTACTGTAATACCTACTGTTTCAATTATATTAGCTGGCATTATTATATGGTTAAAAAAGGCATCTTTAAAGAATTTTTGTGCTCGTATTTTCCGTAGATCATCTGGGAATAATCAAAGTGGATTATCAGCAACTGTTTTAGAACTTAATCGTGTTGTACCGGCTTAATTACAAATAAAACTCAGTTTTTTTAATAAATATTTTAATATGGTCTATATCAGCTATTTCATTATCATAATAATCTAGATAAATCATATTATTCAGTTAGCCTACCGTACTGATTAATCAATGTATGTATCGCAAAGCCAGAATATGCTTCCATTGTAATTATATTCTACTTCAACTATTTTTTCCTTTTCTGACCTTTAACGTGAAAACAGATACAGCTTTTCAATGACTGAAATTTGAGTATTGTATTCAGTAATTAAGATTTCTTAAACTTTATCTATATCTAAATATTTTTCTTGATCAGTAATATTAATTAGAGAAATAAAACGATCATTTTATAATAATAGATATGTAATAAAATAGAAATGACATGCATAAAACTTTCTTTTGTACATTTTTACAATTAATAAAATTCAAGACATGAAAAAGCTTGTCTTGTAGATCTTAAATAATTAAATAGTATATAGTTAATATAGATAATCTACATACAAAAAAATTGTTAGCGCCATCTGTAATAGAGGATAATAGATAAAATCTGAATGGTTAATAAAATGCTCAACAATAATATTGAGAATGATAAAGGTATTCTCTCGTTCTTGTTCTCTCTCTCTCGTTCTTATGTCTCTTCATGTCTTCTCCCGTCTCTCTCTCTCTCTGTTTCTCTTCTAACACCCAAAATTTCTTTTCTATGGGAAGATATTTTTTACATCTTATTATTTATTTATTTCAATAACTAAATCTTTTGTTTAAAAAATCTAAAATAAGATATATTTATATGTATATATAAATTCTCTCTTTATCAAATTGACCTTGATTATTTCGAAAAAAATGTAGTTTAATTCTTATTTTCTCTTATTATTTTCTAGATGATAAATATGTAAAAACAAAAGAATAGAATATCAATATGGATTCATCTTTAAATACTCATATAAATTCATCTATTCTTGATCTTAGTCAACGAACAACAATAACAACAACAACAAAAATAAATACAAACTATTCAGATGTTATTATTGACAATTGGACAAATAATTCTCCATGTAATTATACAGATATAATTGATGATAATGATCTTCGAAAAATTGAATCAGAAAAAACTTTTAATATTGAACAATCATTAACTGATCAATTTCAAAATTTACCAATAAAAGAAGATATATTATCTGATAGTTCAACTATAAATAAATCAAAACTTGATCTTTCTCACCGAACAAAAAATTCCAAGTATAATTAATTATTTAGTCTATTGTACACACATATATATATATTTGTTTTTCTTATTATTTAGTTCATCAACATATCAAATAATAATTCATAATCTTGAACCCTGTTTAAATTCTTCTCCATTATCATTATCAAATTTTCTTTGGTCAAAATATTTTTCTCTTATTAATGAACGTTCAGTTTCCGATGAATTTTTTGATCATTATTTATCATCAATTAATTCAGGTTTAGAAATTGATATGAAACTTGAATATTGTTATGATATACAACGTGATTTATATTGGTTAACACAAATACAATTAGTTTCTCATAGTTTAATACTTTTACATTTTGTTGGTATACCAGAAGATGATACATCAAATGATTTTTGGGCTTATGTTTATGGACAACGTTGTCATCCAATTGGATGGTGTAAAGAAAATAGTAAATTAATGTTACCACCACCTATTGTTACAAAAAGAGCTATTCAACACACAACAATTAATAATACGAATAATACAATTAGTAATGGAAATGATAAACAATCAATGATAAATAAAGGAGAAAATGAAGAATTACAAACACCACCAAATTATTTATTTAATAAAGTAAGATTATGTTAAAATATATCTTTAGTATGATTTGATCTTTGATTTAATCACTTCATTGATCAATGTAATAAAAAAATCGTTATATTAAATATTCATACTTGTATTCTGTTGTTGAATTTATCTTGAAAACGATTGATAGGATTTACGATACTCTAAATATTATAATTATTTAATTAATCCATAAGAGAATAAATTAGTTTCGTTTTTAAATTAATTCAAAGAAATATATAATTTAGAACACCTATTCTTATCTTGATTTTTCGCAGATAAAATTATTTTAGGTTTTATTTTAATTAAGTATAATTATTAAAATTAAAAATTTTATAAATAATTTTTTTTTGTAGGATATTGGTCTTAATCCTGCTGAACAATTAAAATGTGGTATGTTACTTGAAATTCAAGATCTAAATCGCCCATGGACTTTATGGTTTGTTCGAATAGTCAACAATCGTGGTGGACGATTACATCTACGATATATTAGTCATATAAATGAAGATGAAGAACAAGATTCATCTGATATACATATATTTTATCTTGATTGGCGTATTCATTTTATTGGTTGGACTTCAAAAAATCCTTCAATTTATTTCTATGATATTCCAACTTGTTTATTATTAAATTTTGATAAACAAATAATTATTGATACATGTTTATTGAAATCTCAAAATCAATTTCTTCCAGTAAATTTATTTAAAGATCAAGAAGAAATGCGTAAACATCGTTTTAATGAAGGAATGAAATTAGAAGTATTTGATATTAAAACACAAAATATTTATATTGGTACGATAGGTCAAGTACATAATGAATATTATTTTGATATAATTATTGATAATGATAATCAATCAATATTTGTAGCACATGCTACACATCCACATATATTACCAATACATTGGGCAGCTGAACATAGATTTGCATTAATGAAAGGTAAAGGTATACGTCAATCAGAAGATTATTGGAATATTTATACAGAAAAAACTGATAAAAATGATATAGCACCTGAACGTTGTTTTAATTTAATTACATTAAATTCAACAGGAAATAATCGTGTTGAACCAGGAATGAAAATGGAAATGATTTATACATTAAATAATATTGATTATGTATTTTCTGTTACACTTATACATGTTGTTGATCATCTTATGTGGTTAAGAGTTGATAATACCAGTTTATTTAATGATGAATATTTATTTTATCATGTTGTACCAATAAATTCATTAAATGTTTTTCCTGTTGGATGGGCTAAATTTAATGGATTTGATTTATTAACACCAATGGAATATAAAATTAATATTAAAACTTATGAACAAAATCGATATGAATTATTTTCATCAGTAACTCATTATCCAAAAATACCTCGTGTGTATTTAAATGAAATCTATCAATTAACATTATATGTAAATATTCGATGTTTTTCCGGTCCTCATTTTTGTGCATCCCGTCTTGCTCGTATTCCATCTCAATTTGGTCCAGGACCATATCGTCATGTTCTCATAGATATGTTTCATCATCTTCTATCAGCATCATCAACATCAACAAATACTCTTCGAGCATTACGTCGACTTGAACATCCATCAAATACATTACATCTTAAAACAGAATATATTAAAGCAGCAAAAAAATCTTCAAAATTAATACGTCCTATATCATTACCAACTGATCCTTATTTAATCTGTCAGTATATTCGTCATATATGTACACAATTAGAAGCATGTCCTAATTTAATAAGTATGAAACGTGTAGAAAACAATTGTCCAGATAAATGTCATATATTAATAAATACTTTCGGTATGTTATTCTCTAAAAAAAAATCATGATCACATTATCTATAGTTTTATCGAAAACTGTAAAAATATGATTTAATGTTTAGGAATGATTTTATATTTCAAATAGAAATTTATTATTTTTTTCTATATTTAATTAGCTCTTTCAATTCATTCAAAACATAAACGAACTCAACTTCGTGCTGCTCAAAATCGACAACGAAAACAAAAGTCCTTGCTATGTCATTTAAAAACAAGTACAAATCCTTCGACAGTTTCTACTCCTGCTGTTGAAGAATCACCTTCTATTGAACCATCACTGGAAACATTAACTAATGATAGTTCTTCGCCAATACCACCACCACCTGGAAGTGATCGTAAAACACGTGGTTTTCGTGTTCATATTGAACCAAGAACACATACTGTTACACGAACAAATAGAAAACAAAAATTAACATCAACAGTAACAATTAAACAAGAACCAATGGAAATTAATGATACAAAAATTGAATCTTCACCACTACCAGTACAAGTTCCAATTAAAGGTTTATCTATAAACTATTATAATATTTATAATAAAATATCTTTCTTTTTATCATTTAGAATCTAAACGTCCGCGTATAACAAAAAATAAACGTCCTTCATCTCCTGTAATAACAATGAATATTTTATCAAATCCCTCTTCTCCATCTAATAGAACAAAGAAAAAACGACGTTCTCCTCAAATAATGAATGAATTTGCATCATCATCATCATCTTCTTCGGATATAACAATTCCAAAAATTGAAATTCAACAATCAACATCATCACTTATTCAACCAACATTTTCCATTCCACCAATTGATACACGAAATCCAGTTACATGGAATGTTAATGATGTTTGTTCCTATTTAAATCAATCAGGATGTTCATTTGCATTAAAAACAATTAAAGAACAAGTAAAAATAAAAATATTATTATATCTGAAATAATTTTTTTTAATTAAAAAAGGAAATTGATGGTGCTGCTCTTCTTCTTCTGGATGATTTACCTAAAGTTCAAGATTTACTAGAATTTAAATTAGGTCCAGCTGTTAAATTTTGTCATGTAGTTGAACAACTTCGTACACAAGTTATTGATACATTTCATTCATCACCATCATTAAAAACTTCACGTTTATCAACAACTAACACATCTTGATTAGATATTTTCTTTTTTTTGTTTGACAGTGTGTGTGTGTATGTGTATGAATCTATCTTTATTGTTTCACCGGATATTTAAATATGTGTTCTTCTATCTGTTTTTTTTTGCAAAGAACTGTATCTTTCTGTTTTTTTTCTTGTATATTTCTGTTCGATATATTTCTTCTAAAAAAAACAAGAGAAAGTGAGGGAAAGAAAAGGAGATGTTTCTTTTTGCTCATTAAATATATATATATATATTTAAGGTCATTAATGGATTTATAAATTCTAGTTGTGATCGTTTACAGTTTTAAAGAATTCATTCTAGTGCAATAATAATTGATACAAAGTTGGATGTATATATAGATGACTTATCCTCAGAAGGATAAAAAAACCTCAAAAACGGAAACATAAAATTATCTCATGATGTTTACATTATAATTATAGTTTACAGTCATACACATGTTATGTTACAAAAATTACCTGAGTAATATGGTGGGTGTATATCAGATATACATATTTCCAGTCATCCTTGGTTTTATTTTTGATTTGAAATTTTTTTTTTCTATAATGTACGGTTTTCTAATATTTGTGATTGGGTATCTCATTATAATAGTTAAAAATAATTACAAGGATAATTATATAAAGTTTTTTTGCTTTCTTAATTTTGACACATATTTTACGACTAACTGCTTGTTAAAATGTATAACTTTTATAAATCAATTTATCGTTTTCTATTAATCATGGTATCTGATATCTGACAAGATTATTTAAGATAACACATAATTTAACATGTATCAGAAAAATGAGACATGTACTTTTTTTTCTTTTTTACTCATCATTGCATAAAGGTGCATTTTCTTTTTCAACCGTATCCTTTTCAAATAGATAAAATGAATCAGAACCAGTAAACAAGTTACTTCACGGTCATTAGTTTTGAGTGATATTCTCTCTTTCACCTGTTGCAATATGTGACAACATAAATAAATCAAATATATCGATTCATTTTTAGTAATCATTTTTTGAGTATTGAATGTAAAAAAATGATGAATTCCGTTTGGAGACCAATTCAACGAGGACTTGGTTTTGGTCAACCAACTCCTCCTACTAGGTCGGCTTGGGGTTTTATTAAAAAAATTCTCAATGATCGATCATTAGGTTTTGGTTCATTACTTGCTTATACTTTTATAATCGCTCTTTTACCATTAGCAACTGCAGCTTTTGGTATATTTGGACTTGTTTTAAGTGAAGATTCAAGTGCTAAACAATCAATTATTGATTCAATTATGAATTCCTTACCAGATAATGCTACAAAAGCTGCTGTTGGACAGGTATAAAATCATTAAAAAACAAAAATATTTCTTGAGAAAAATATATATAAATAAATTTAGGTAACACAATTAGCTGCTGATAATCTTTCAAGTGATGCGGGTGGAATTCTTGCTATAGGTATTATATTATCAATTTGGGGTGGATCTCGTTTATTTGTTGCACTTGATGAAGTTATAACAATATTTTATCGTACACCTGATCGTCCATTTGTAAAAAAAAATTTAATAGCTATTGGAATGCTTATTTTATTTATAATACTTATTTTATTAATTATTGTTGCAAGTGGTGCACCCTCTTTTTTAATTAACGCATTACCAAATCAAAATGGTGCACAATTTGGAATATTTGTTGCTGGTATAGTTTTATCAATTGCTATGGCATTTCTCTTATTTTTAGCAATTTTTTTAATTGTACCAAATAAAAAAATGAAATTTAAACAAGCTTGGCTTGGTGCATTATTTGCAGCAATTTTACTTGATATATTTTTAATTCTATTTCCATTATATATACGAAGATTTATGGGCTCATTTATTGGTTTGATTGGTTTTGTAGTTATTCTACTGACGTTTTTTTATTATTTTTCACTTATCGTTATTTTGGGTGCACAAATGAATGCTTATTTTCTTGAACGTATACAACCATTACCTGACGGTTTAGGTACGTTCTTAAGTCGAGCTGTTGGTAGAATGCCAAGACCAGGACAGGCATCTCGAATGAATTATTATCCATCGGCTAGGACAGGACCACGACCAAGACCATCTCGATATTATTAATATTAAATAAAAAGATCAGAATCACATATATATATATACAAATATAATCAAAACTCGAACATAATCATTAAATTATCTATTTGTTTTTTTTTATGAATTTTTTCATGAACGTCTGTATTATAAAAAGTTCGAAGTTCGTTTATCAGATTTGTTAAAGGACGTAACTTGTAATCAGACACAGCACAAGGGTAAATTATACGAAAGAAACTATTATATGTATCATTTTATCAGTGCGCCGCTTATGATGGTATAAATGAAAAAGTTGCATTTAAATATATTCAAGTATATATCAAACATGCACAGACAGTTAAATGAAATAAAAATAATTATTGTACCATATAATATAATGTTCCGTATACCTGTAATTTTGAGACAACAGTTGGACAGTTAAAAGTGCAGTGGGTAAAAATAACTTTTTTTTTCATCATGTCCTAAATATACCTATTCAACTTTCGTAAAAAAGACAAAACTATTTGATATTTTTCCTTAGAAAATAAGTCAAATGAAATAAAAATATCTGTAGTTCACTATACTATTAAATCTAATTTAGGATGTGAAATGATACAACTATTTTTTATATTTATCAATTTTTGAAACAGCAGTTAATTGTAAAATGTATTGGAAATCAAATATTTTAGCTTCATCTTCAGAAATTGTGTGTTTTTATATACAATTCGATTCCTGTTGAACGATTTTCGAAATGTTTTTCTTTTATTTTACTCTTTTATTTGTGTCTCACCACCGTAGAAAAAAGAAAAGAAAAAATGAGCAGTACGTTTTGTACAGCATCTGATAGGCTCTCTAAATATGTGATTTAATTCACAATTTTTTTCTTTGTTTCTGCTCGAACATATGCGAAACACTCTTACAAACCAAGTGTAGATCTAGACAGAAAGTATTTTAGAGAATTTCAGAAACGATGGAAATATTCGAGCAAGTTTATACTTTTACAGTTAAAAAAATTAAAAATAACTTTTTTCGCTCACTGTGTTGATCGAGATTTTTAAAATTAAATCTCCTAAAACTTTTGATTGTTTCGTCAACTATCAATGAAACTTCTATAGGTTTTAGGATACCTAGCACCGAATAAACAGTGAAAATTCGAGTCTTTTTGAGACCGTGTATTTCTGGGAAATTGTTTTTTTATTGATCAATAAGTCGTTTTATCATATATTATTCACCTCGTTAGACTATGCTAAGTAAACCTACATGTATAAAAATCAGTGTTGCCAACTCTTCCGGTTTTTCCAGAAAAATTCCGGATTTTAGATTATTTTTATTGAACTAAATTATATTTATCTGTTAATACTCAAAAAAGAATTTTTATTTGACGATGGCTTAGTGGCTTATACTTCTTATATATTTAGTTTATTATATTCTGAATTTTGATGTTGATTTTCTTTTGATATATTGAACCATGGGGTTTTTGAAATAATAAGCGGTATAATTGAGAACAAGACTTGGAGAAACTGATTTTAGCCGATAGAAATTAACTGTTAAAAAGTTTTCCGGATTTTCACATTAGAATTCCGGTTTTCTGACTATGACAGTTGGCATCACTGATATAAATGCAAAAACCATTTCTCCCTTCTCTACTATACAGTTACTCTCTCATATAGAAAATCGCACGTTTTGTAATTATCTTTAGACTGATCAAAATTGAACGAATTCTTTCAAAAGCATTTGATAAACAATATAAACGAAAATAAAGTTTTACAACCCGAAACTACGCCATATCCATTACCAACAGAATTGCTAATAAGTAACATCAGCCCTACGGTAAAAAAAACATAACGTTTTACATCTCACAGATCAAAAAGAATATTTAAAACATGGTTATACACGGAGTTTATGACAAATGTTTGGAATTAATTTATCAATTCAAAATCAACCGAAGAAAACAGATTCTTCAGCATTACGGTTAATTATCGACCGAATTTTTTTGTCAAGATGATATTTCAAAACTGTGTCTGGATAAAAATAAAATAATTGATAATCATAAAATACAATTTCGTCTGAATCACCCCAGTATGATACTTTTACTTGATATGTACCATCTTTTATTCAAAAACTAACTGATGAAAGTTGGGAAACGTGCTTATGTATCACATGTCAACAAGGATGCATTAGAATAATTTAGGGCGTGGGTGTATCTACTTTATCTTCACCCACACCCCACATACATCCTCAAGATGGTTTAAATTCGTAAAGGACATGTGTGTAGAATACATGCACAATACAAAACGATATTGCAACGATTCAAATCGATTGGGCCGAGAATGACAATCTAAAACAAGCAAGAGAAGAAAAAGGTATGACACTTCTTTTTTTGAGAATAAGACTGTGTAGCGTACTTAGAGTTCACTTATTTTCTTCCTTTGAGCATCATATTGCTTTCTTAAACGGATATGTATGGCTTAATATCAATCGTTTAGTTTTGGTTCTATCAACGACGATACTAATTATATGTTAGAAGCTGCATGGTCCAAAAATAAATGATGCTTCACTAGATGTAGTTTATGAAAACAATTTTACAACAATTAATATTATCTCTGATAGTGCAGTTTCACAATATCGTAATAAAACGACCATCTATTTAATGGAAAAATACGCTACAAATGAATAAGTCGATATGGTTTTGATTTTTCTAGAAGCTCGGCACGGGAACGGGGTGGTGGAAGCTGTTGGTGCTATAGTTAAACGTAAATTTGACGAAACCATTTCATTCAGTCCTGATAAAACTTTGTGATTATTAAATGCTGTTCAAAACTTGGCTGGCATTAAATTATTCATATATGATAAAGAAGCTATTGAAAAAAAATCGTTGTATGAGATTATAGCGCGAGAAGATGGTATGCTCTTTACTAAAACTTTATCAAACGAAAAAGAAGAACAATTGAAAACTGAGATCAAAAAGTAATTATTGGAGGGTGTGGGTGTATCTACTTTATCTCCATATCCACTCACACCCTTCTTTGTCAATAAACCTTGGAATTATTATTTTCGGATTTTACATAATCTTCAATAAACAATTCAGTGGCACTATAATCTAAAATAACTAACACAGATCTTTAGCTGTTGAACATAATTATGTGCATCGGAGCTGTACATAATATATTCAAACATGGGGAAAACATTTATTGTTTTTTTTCTAACATAATATTTAATGAAAGAAAAGACGTCATCAACTTAGTTTGGTCGACTTTCTAATGTACTCATGGAGATACTGTTTGCATTTTTTAGAACGTTACTGTTTGTTATTGCGATTATTTATTTACATTTAATTTTTTTCTGAAGCACTATAGTATGGTCGTTTTTTCATGTAATCACGGAGATGTTATTTTCTTTTCTCAGCAAATTTACGTTTGTTTCTATAATTATTTATTTAAATGTACTTTTTTTTGTATAAATAAAACAAAGTTCCTGTTATTGTGATTATAATGGACAAATGTTTTCTGAAGCTCTATGTTCCCGCCGTTTCTTTTCCGAAGAAAAATTGAGACGAATTTTCAATTAATTTTTTCTTCTTTTGTATACAAAATACATACTACATCATATCAATATACAAATGAAAGAAAAATAAGGTAAATATTTATTGCATTAATATTTTCCATCGAGAAAAAGAGAGTTTGAACGTGTTGTTATGATAAACAACTATTTTGTTCTGAATTAAGACTATTCTACATAGACATTACTCGTAACTGTTTAAATCATTTTTTTCATTGATAAAGAAAAATGTGATTATCGATTGAATTACAAGTCAAAAACTCTCATATCAATCAGGAACGCATGAATAAAAACTATGCGACAGAAAAATAAATGAAAGATTTTTGAAATGTCGTTATATTGTATGTTATATACACTCAAAAAATCCAGATACAGTGAGTTTGAGTTAAGAAGATTGTAGAGTTTGTTTTAGTTCTCTTGTCTAGTCAAGCAACTCATCTGATCATTTAAATCCGTTTAGATAATAAAGGTCGACTTTATTTTTCATATTCTCATCTGTATTTATTTTCTAAATAACTGAAAAGGTCTATTCAGGAATATATTTGCTCTTAAATAACAAGTAACGCTCGTCTGAAGACTTGCGCAGCTCTTTCTCGTAAAAATTCTGTGCCTTCGCTACTGATAGACTTTCTATCAAAAAAGTTTCAAAAACCAATTCAAAATTTGGGTTCCACGATCTAGATAACCGTTCAGTCAATTCTTATAAAAATTATTTTTTATAGAGAAGTGATCTTTTTTGTGTAAACAAACTGAACCGAAGAAATTTTTAAAAAACTAACTGGAGATTCGAGTTCCTCGATCTCGATTAGACTTCGGTCTACCCTTGTCAAACAAAATTCTTCTTATATCTTTAACTAAGTCTTGGACCAGTCAGAAAAGTGCAGCCATACAAGCAAGAAAGCAAACAATTTATTTCTGCTAGCCTCTTTTCTACGACAAAGAAAACATTTGAACACAGGAAAATCATCTTTCCGAACGGAGAAATTGTTTTTAAAATAAAACAGACAGGATTGGTTTTTCATTAGATTGATCAAACAGACTCAGAAAAAGATGCTCTACATACTGAAAACAGAAGAAAAGAGAGAGAAATAAACAAAACAAAAATAGAATTTATTGCTCAAAAACTACTTTTCAACTATTATGAGTTAACTTCATTTCATCAACTTACAGTCTAGCTGGTGATGGCTTCAACAAGAGTTTGTTTCTGGTTGTTATTTATGATTATCACTCGATCAATCGCACAAGATATACGATCAATGGAGATGTCTTTAATGATTGATTACAAGTTTCAATGTGCGAATACAACTTGTTTACCATTCATTAACATTATTACATCAAGCATTAGGAATTGTCAAGTAGCATGTTTAGCTCGAAGTCAATGCATAGCAGCTACTTTTCATCGATCAACTTCTGATTGTGAACTATTTGATAATATGTTGAATCAAAACGGAAATATGTTGGGTGATGTGGATACGACTAGTATGAATATCATTGGTGGAACACGATTTCCACCAGGTGAGTATGAATACAATAGGTTTAGAAGAAAATATATCTTTAAGAGAGAAAAATTTAATTGCTTCGTGAAAATAATTTCAATTTATCGAGAACTAAGGCCATCTTGACAGAGATATTAGAGAGATATGCGTATGTAAATTACCAATCGGTTCGGCTCGAGATCACAGAAGAAAAACATTCAGCCAAAGCGTTTACGAAAGCAATTCTTTTGGAGATTTATTTTCCAAACTCGACTTTGAAAATATCGTAGTAAAACGAAATCTCTTTGACACTTAAAAACTCAACAATCAATATCATCGAATATTAAAAGAATAATGAATAAAAACAAATGAGATAGTTATTCCATAAAATATCTATGGATATCAATATAGTTTTCATATTTATAAATCTATACAAAATATCGATGTCTATGAAACAAATTTTCATCGAAACTCCACAGGTATATAACGCATCAGATAGATCCTTAGGAAATAAATAAGGAATTACAAGATTTTTTTGATTATGATGCTGATCAGAAGCAGTTTAAGATTAGCTTTGCACCTCATTAAGTCATGTACAAAAACTGAGCCTAAACTGGTAATATGTCATTTGGAAATTTGCATCTGTGTCAGAAAGAATCTCTTAACAGTATAACTAGATACACTACAATAATGAAGAATTTTGAGAAGTTAATGATACATTAAATCAATCTGAGTTCATTCTATTTTTGTGCTAGATAATTATACACTGCGATCTTTGCTCTTTAACTTGGAATTAGTTCCTGATCAGAATCTCATCTTAAGTAAAAATGAAAGAGTTCAAGAAAAGAAACAGTATTCAAATCTTATATGACTCATTCTGTGTAATTCGAAGAGTTTCATTATTAAACTTATAAAAAATGTAAATTGAGTTATCAAAAGTATCATAGAGATATAATTAAAGTGAACATCGTAGAATTACAATTATAATGGAAATCATCTAAATATTTTCTATTTGATTATACTCAACTCATATTTAACGTCTATACACTGTTACAGAAGAAGGAACAAAATCTTATCTAATCGTTGAGTCTTACTTTAAAATTACTTTTTCAAAATAGAACCGACTACGGCAAATTCAACAACAGCAACAGCAGCATCTACTACAACAACAAGAACATCAACAACAACGACAGCAATACCAAGTGAGTACTATGTTATATGATTTGTAGTTACTCAAACGATAATCAATACACCTGACGACATCTAAAAGTTTTGGTTTTACCTATCAGATGTTTGCCATCCAGGCAGATAAAATTAGAAAATATTTCCTATCAGAAGTCAAAATGTGATCAGGTTTTGATGACTTGACTCGGTCTTTGCTAATCTAAATATTGAAAATGCTCGTTCTGTCCGACAGTATCATAGGAATACATTGTTAATAAGAAGATATTCATATGCGATAGAACTCATTGGTCATTCTAGTAACCTATAACAACGCCCAACGACTCTCAAGCTGACTGAAATACTTCTATTCGTCGAAGCACTAGTTGACGTCGTATCGACATAAGACATTCGAAATCATTTTAAAAACAGAAGGTTTTTACTCACTTTTCTATTTTATCTAGAATGGACAATGATTGGAAACATGAGTGTCGCACGAGGATATCACACAGCATCCATAATAGCAAATGAGACAGTATTAGTTGCCGGTGGATACAACGGTGCTTACCTCAATAGTGCTGAATTATACGATCCATCAACAGACACTCGGACTACTACAGCAAACATGAATATCACCCGAGCGCGTCACACAGCGTCCACATTAGCAAATGGATTAGTATTAGTTACTGGTGGACAGAACAGCGGTGGCTACCTTAATAGTGCTGAATTTTACAACTCATCAACAGGCACTTGGGCAGTCACAGGAAATATGAGTGTCGCACGAGAATATCATACAGCATCCACATTATCAAACGGATTAGTATTAGTTGCTGGTGGAAACAACAGTGCTAGTTTTTTCAATAGTGCTGAATTATACAATCCATCAACAGGCACTTGGACAGCCACAGGAAGCATGAATGTTGGACGAGGATATCACACAGCAACCATATTAGCAAATGGATTAATATTAATTACTGGTGGATCCAGCGGTGTTACTTATCTCAATAGTGCTGAATTGTACAATCTAACAACAGGTACTTGGACAAACACAGGAAGCATGAGTGTTGGACGAGGATATCATACAGCATCCATATTAGCAAATGGAAAAGTATTAGTTACTGGTGGATACAATGGTGCTAGTTTTTTCAATAGTGCTGAATTATACAACCCATCAACAGGCACCTGGTCAACCACAGGAAGCATGAGTACCACCCGAGCTCGTCACATAGCGTCCACATTAGCAAATGGATTAGTATTAGTTACTGGTGGGCAGAACAGCGGTGGTTATCTCAATAGTGCTGAGTTGTACAATCCATCAACAGGCACTTGGACTACTACAGCAAACATGAGTATCACCCGAGCTGTGCACACAGCATCCACATTAGTAAATGGAAAAGTATTAGTTACTGGTGGATCGAGAAGCAGTGGCGTTTATCTCAATAGTGCTGAGCTCTATTAATCAATATACACAGAATGACATTTTCTTTTGTGAACTTAATCATAAAAACTTTCTATATAATCAAACTATATAATCATTCACATTTCTTAATACATTATCAGTCACTAAATAATACATGAGTTGGAGTAATATCTCAAAGTCATATTTTATGGAGATTGTTGAAAAAGAACCATGATCAATAAAAGATAGATCATTATTTGTACAACTAAATGAATGTTTTCATTGAAGAAAGGTAAGGATATTAATACAGATGTG